TCTTTTTCCCTTAGTAAGAAGACCCTTTTATAATTAATTGATATTTACTGTTTTTAAATACTTTTAAAAAAACTGACATGATCACATCACACCTTTCCTCCCCACTTAAACTATTAAAATATAGAGAATGATAGCAATAGCATCCTGTGGTATTCAAAAACACATATGGTTTCTGTCCCCATTTTGGGAACCGAGACCCTAAATCCCCTGAATTTCCTGATAGGATTGTCTTCAGTCAGATTGCAGGTGTCACCACCCCCTTTCCCTCCAAAAGTCCCCGCAGGAAGCGGGGTCTCTGTGGCTGCCATCTGTGAACTGGACTCTCCAAATCATTCTTTTCTGTTAATACCTTGCCTTTGTGTCAGCTAAACAAACAAACAAACAAATGGGAGAACTCCTTCTGACCACATCTGAGTTTATGCTAATGAAGGGATGTAGGGTTGGGGTTCCTGAACAGCTTCAGGATGGGATGGTCACCTGAAAGACTGAGGGATGAGAGGGTTTGAACTGTGTGTCCCACCCGCAGACTTCCCTGAGGAGTGAAGAGGCTGGAGATGGCGCTCTGCACAGCTCTTACACGGTGGACATAGGTCAGCCACGGGCTGGCACACACGGTCTGGCGTGGGGAGGCGGGGTGTCTGCAGAGGGTTGGAGGCTCAGCTCTGACCCCCTTCCCTCCATCCTTTGCCTTATGCATCTCTTCCATTTGTCTGTGCCTAAGTTGTATCCTTTATAATAATTTGGTTAAAATGCTTAGAAAGGCCAAAACTCAAAACAGAGTTTGGAGCGAGGAAAGGTTTATTGACCAAGAAGAGGCCGACAGAGGAGATGGGAGACTCCCTGGTGTTTCAGATCCATCTGTACTTACGAAAGTACAGAGTTCAGGATTCTTTATGTCAAGGGAAGTGGGAAAAGGGAGGGGCTAGAGGTGATTGATCATTTCATTTGTAGATAATCGGGATGCCTGCAAGGGTCGAGAAAGATTGTGCTATAAGATGTGAGTTCAGGGTTCCTGCAATCTTTGATAAACAAACACACTTCGCTTACCTCCTCAAGCTGCAAGCAGAATTCCTGTAACGCTGAGCATGTCTACATGCAGGACTAGGCAGAAGCCCTACTAGCCTGAAGGCCATGGGAGCATTTCGTTTCACCCTTGTCAGCAGAGTTGTAGGGTAAATTCATTTCCGTCAGAACTTTGAAGACACTGTGGCCCTCTGGAGACACCTGATACCAGTAAGAACCAGTGTGGTTCTTATTCCTTCACAGAAAGGGTGACTGTGCATCCCAGTTTTTCTGGAACACCCTCAAATCAGGTCTTCCAGTGTGTGCTCTTAAAAAGTATCATTATTTGTTGATGAGCTACAGAATCACCGTATTTGTAGGCGACCTGATTTTTGTGTTTTGGAAGCTTTTACGATATTCTTACCCCTGAGAATTCACAGGGCTTTGTCTAGAGGGCAGTGACTGTTTCCCCGCTTTATCTGCTCCCACTCAGCGGGCCCTTTCTTTCATCCTGAGTCCATGGGCTCCAGGATATTTCAGGGCCGAGTGCTTCAGGAATCTCTGACTCTTCATTCTCTCGTTTGTTCTAGACCTTCTTTTAGTGGAACTTGGTCTTTTAGAGTAATTTGACATCTTACTTTTAAAAATCTTTTTGACTCCTGTTTTCATTTTTTGCTTTTCTTTCTGGGAATATATCCTCAACCTCATTTTCTAATACATTTATTGGCATTTTAGTTTCAAGTGCTATTACTGATTTCCTAGAGCTTTTTCTTATTTTCGGTCCTTCAGTATAGCCCATGGCATCCTTGTTTCATCCATATAATAGCCTTTCATATTTTGAGAATCTTAATTATATATACATATTTAACGTGTTGCTTCTATTTCCTACATTGTCTATTTCCATTGAGTTTTCTCCTTTCCCTTTTTCTTTTTAAAAAAATTTTACTGGTACTAGGGAGAGAGGAAGGGAGACAGACATAAACTTGTTTTCCACTTATTTAAGCATTTATTGGTGGTTTCTTATATGTGCTCTGATGGGAGATAGAACCCACAACCTTGGTGTATCAGGACAATGCTCTAACCAACTGAGCTGCCTGGCCAGGACCTTCTCTCCTTTTTGTTTTTGTCTTTGTCTGTCATTTGGATGGGTTTTTCCTCACATATTTGCTGATCAAGAACTACATTTTCTGTCTGGATTTTTGGTTTGGATACATCCTCCTGTTTCTAGTGTCTTTTTCCGTTAATGAATTCCCGATATTAGCCTGGGTTTAATATTGTGAAACAGATGGGGTTATTCTGTTCTCCTGTGTAAAAAACCTGAATGGTTCTTCGGACACCTGGGTGATGTTTGAACCGCTCTGCACTTAACTTAGCCTGGCGTGCAGGGCAGTGAGACGCTGTGTTTGTTTCCTAGAGCTGCTGTAACACCATAGGTTTGGTGGCTTGAAACAAGGAAATGTATTATCTCACAATTAATAAAGGCCAAATGTCGAATCAGCATTAGTGGGCTGAAACTGAGGTGTTGGCAGGGCTGTGGTGTCTTCCAGAGGCTCTGGAGAAGAAGCTGTTCTCTTCGGCCTCCGTGAGGGCTGCATTGGCGCAGACCCAGTCTTCCAGGCCAGCATCTTCAAACCCCTATGCTCCTTCTTCACATCGCCCTCTCTGTGTGTGTCAGATCTCCCTCTGCCTGCCTCTTAGGAGGACACCTGTGATGGCGTTTCAGGCCCGCCAGATAATCCAGAATTGCCTACCCATCTCAAAATCATTAACTTAATCATACCTGCCAAGACCCTTTTCCCAAATAAGGCAACACTTCTAGGCTCTAAGGACTGGGGCTCTGATACCTTTGGGTTCAGTTATCAGCCTACTACAAGGACTTACTGTTGTCTTAAATGCCCTTTTCTTGGATAATATCTGTACTTTTACAGATACTGATACTATTCCCTCCAGTTGTCTCACGAGGTTGACTCCTTGGTCAGAAACATAGGGATCCATTCAACTCATCATAGTCACCCTTTTTGACTTCCTCTCCCCCTCCTAGACAGAGGACTGCGTTTACCTTTTTAAATGTAGTCTATGCGCTTCTCCAGTAGCTTTTGAGGTGTCAAAATCCTGTCTGTCTCTACCACTGGAGTAGGAACTTTTTGAGTACCATGAAATGAAAATCATTAGGTATGGAGCTGAGAAGGGTGGGCATTTAGCAAATATTTGTTCAGGAGCTGCAACATTTATTGAGGGCCAGTTAAATACTAGGGCCTGTCATGTTTTGTCACTGCCGAAGTTTCTCCACGGCCCTTTTCTCAGAAGGGATTTGCTAGGTCATAGGAATTTACATTGTCAGCTTTTGGTAGATGCTGCCAACTTGATCTTCAAAGTGGCTGCACTTTCCCAATGATGGCAATAGCTGTCTTGTTTCGTCTTGTTTGAGTTGTTTATTTTTTATTTATAGAAATTCTGTAGATGTTACAGATATGAATTTTTATGTATGTTCTCCCCATTTCTGTAAGATCCCCGTGCCTCCCCACACCCCATGGACAAATTGATAGATGAATAAATGAGTGAACTTGTCTAGAGCAAAGCTAGATGGATAAATGAATGAACTTGTCTAGAGTCATAGCTACTAAGAAACAGCAGGGATTAAGGCCTGTTTTTATTTTTTTTTTGTTTTTAAATATATCTGGCTGCCTTCCAGGGAATGAGGAAATTAATTGACTCTACTTACTAGCTCTGTGAGTTTAGGCTGATGTGAGTACGTTTTTAAAATAACTGTGTTGACAGCTATCTGCTTCCCACCTGACTGAGAATATCATTGAGATAACGTGTGAAAGTGTTGTGTACACAGTGAAATACTGTTTATAAATATTAGTAATTCTTTTTGACCGTCATCCTAATGAGCGAATAAACTTGATGTACTTGGAAAGTTTTGGATGTACATTTAAAAAAAAAATAGACTTTTTGAGAGCAGTTTCAGGTTCACAGTACAATTGAGAAGATACAGACATTTCACATATACTCCTGCCCTCACTTATGTATGACCTCCTCCATCATCAACATTCTGCACCGGAGTGGTACATTTATTATAATTGATGAATCCACATTGAGTCGTCATCGATGTGTCTTTATCTCCTGGAGTCCGTAGTTTACATTAGGGTTGACTCTTGGTATTATATATCCCATGGATTTTGACAAACACGTAATGATGTATATCTATCATGCAGAGTAGTTCCACTACCTTAAAAATCCTCTGTGCTCTGCCTGTTTCTTGGCTTCTTCCCCAACCCATGGCAGCCCTGAACTGTCCATATTGTCTCAACACCTTTGCCTTTTTTAGAATGCCATATAGTTGGAATCATACAGTATGTGGCCTTTCAGACTGACTTCTTTCACTTGATAAAATGCACTTAAGGCTCTGCCCTGTCTTTTCCTGACTTGGTCGCTTATTTCTTTTTGGCACTGAATAGTATCCCATCATTTGCGTGTACCGCAGTGTGTCCGGTTGCCCACTGAAGGACTTCTTGGTTAGTTTACCTTTAGGCACATAAGAATAAAGCCGCTGTAAACGTTCATGTGCAGTGTTTTCTGTGGACATAAATTTTCAGCTCCTCTGGGTAAGCATCAAGGAGCTTGATGGCTGGATCCTGTGGTAAGGGTATGTTGAGTCTGTAAAAGACTGCCAGCTGCCTTCCGAAGTGGGCGCGCCTTTTCGCATTTCCCCAGCGATGAATGGGACCTGGTGCTCTGCCTGCTTGCCAGCATTTGGCGATGTTAGTGCTTTGTGTTTTGGCCATTCTGATAGGTGTGTATTGGTCCATACTGTGCTTTTTTGGTGAAAATTACATGATACAGTGTCATTTGCTAGTATGATGTTTCCAGAAAAACTCAGCAGAAATTCTCCTGGGAGGTTTGGAAGTAGGAATGTCTCCAGGAGAAGGTGGGTGCGTGGCTCTGATTCACCGAACTGCGAGTAGTAATGCTTGTCTCCGTGTTTGTTTTCGCAGGTGTTGAAACAAGGCACCTGTTGTGAAGACGCCACCAGTACCTCCTACCATTGTCAACTGGTAAAATGTTTTAATCACAAAATATCTCTATTAGGCATAAAATAATACTAAGTTCAAGTGTGACTGAACTTAAAGTTAATTATTCCCATTTTGCGATTATAGAATTATGAAGTTACTAGATGGTAGCTTTCATACCAATTTTAACCCCAACCCCATTGGAGTCCCATTGGGACATTAAGCCATGTTATTCAGCAACATTATTTATTTTCCTTTCCTCTGTTTGATTTCATTATGCATCTGTGTAAGAGTTTGGACTCAGCAGTCTCTTTATTTTGCAAAGGTTCATGCTCATGGAACTAGTATTGTCGATTCAACATGTGATGGTCATTTTAAATTTGTGTGAGTGTTATTTTAAGTTTCTAACTGGACATTTTAACAGAAGCAGGTTTAAGGCCAAGAAAAGGACAGTGTGCCTTTTGTTCACCTATAGCAAATTCTGCATGTTAATTATAGTTGTCGTGGGGGTGAACTATAGCAGTTTTATTCTTTCCTTCTGAAGTGAATTAGAGCTTGTGAAATTTGGGGGCAAGAATTTAAGGATCAAGCAGCTTGCAAGGTTTTTAGCATTATGAGAAGCAAAAGACATTGGATAGAACTGTGACCAGGAATAGTCCATGTTGCTGAAGTGCTTTGAAACTATAAAACAATAAATGTAATTTTACCTGCTTTTTATCTAATTTTATCTATTAGAATCAGGATTGTTGACATTTGTCTTGTTTCAGAAAATCATTTCAAAATCTTTGTGCACATTAATTGAATTTATTATTCCCTTATATTTTCTACTGATTTTAAAAAGAAATTACACAAAAGTATGTTTATTATTAAAAACTATAAATAGTGTCAGAGTGTGTAAGCAAAAGGGAAACTTGCCTTTCCCCCAATTCTTTTGCTAGGTACTACCCCCTACCAATTTGGAGTGGGTCCTTCCAGGCCTTCTGTGTGCATACGCAAGGTTACTATCTTTAAATGAAGTGCACATAACCCTAACCTTGTGCAGTGGTGTGCTGTCACTTTAATTTATTTTAGACGTTTCTTTCCTATGTCTTCTTGAGTGATATCATTGGCCAAATGAAAAGTGTTTTGAAGTGATTGAGTAAATACATTGGAACACAGTACTTTCTCTACGAATTTCTTTTGTGATTTGTGGGTTATGGAAATCCCAAACTTGGAATTTCTAGCCAAGAATGGATCAGCAAAGTTTAGATTTACATGAAACTGATACTGCAAATATAATTTACTACATATTAAACAGTAGGTATGGCATTTATGTAAATGACTGCAATTAGTATTACTTTATAGAGGGTTGGCTAGATTGGGGTAGATAGCAAAGGGGTTTTGGAGTTTAGTACATTTACTTAGGGGCTATAAGGCGGTGCCTGGCAATAAAGTGGTGGAGGTAACTATCTCATAATTTTGCCTAGAGTTGAGTAGGCAGCCAAAAAAGGAAAAGAAATTTGTGAGTTTTATATAGGTTAGCAATATTATGAAGCAGAGTGAATTTCATGGACTGTTTGAGGAACCCCGTGTCTTGAATTCTGAAATGTGGAGCCCCTTCTCTTCACATCTGGGAACTGTCCGTATTCCGGAGTCCTGTGGCTGAAGAAACGGTGTGAAAAATGGAACTGATTCACGTGTGTGCGTGTCCTTGGCGTAATTGTTAAAAGGGAACCATTTAAATTCCTTAAACATCTGGAGAAGGGAATTTTGATACAGTTTATTTTAATGCTCCTAGTAGTTCATCTAAAAATGAAATGTAGAATTAGAAGGAGGACATTAACAAATGGAATTATATATGAATAAATTTAAACCCAATATCATAGATATTATACAGTGTTTTAAGTCTGTTACAGATTCACAGCAAGTTCAATATTCTTATTTTTTTCTTAATTATTTTGACTTAAAAAGCATGTTTTGTTATCTGACTTTCCCTGACTGGCTTATTTCCCTTAGCATAATAATCTCCAGGTCCATTCTTGCTATTGCAAAGGGTAAGAGTTCCAGTGCCATATGATCTCACATACATGTGGAATCTAATGAAGAAAATAAACTGATGAACAAAATAAGACCAGAGTCATGGATACATGGAATAGACTAACAGCTGTCGGGGGATGGGGGAGCGGAAGAGATTAGCCAAAGAACATCTATGCGTAGCCTGTGGATGTAGCCAGCATGTGGTGAAGATGGTGGTGGGGACAGGCTGGCTGGAGGAGGGCAGAGGAGGAGAAATTGGGGACATCTGTAATAGTGCCAACAATTTTTTTAGAAAGTACATTCTGTCCATGATGCTAGTAATTCATATTTAAATACAAAGTCGACAAGATTTGATGGCCTCGGGACTTACCTCACTCATCTTGATGATCCCCATGCAGATGGAAGCAGAAAGTGTAAGCTGTGCATAGAGCTGTGCAGTAGAGAGTAATTCTTCTGAGCATTTTCATTTATTTGTGAAAATGATCTGTATTAGAAGTTTGGGAGGAAAGGGGACACGCAGCAGCCTGTTTACTTGGTTCACAGAAAAAGGTTTCTTAGAGTTATACCAAGTATTCTCTTAGCTCTTGAAGAAGCATTTCTTTCTTTCTTTCTTTTTTTTTCGCGCCTTCTATTTTTAAAACACAATCTAGTTTCTGAACACTTAACGGAAAAGCTGCAGAGGCTGGAAAACTGGGCACACTGGAGAATGGAGGACGAGAGAGAAGACAAGTTTTTATCATATGGCTTTGATTCTGAATCCTGTTTCTTCAAAAAGGCCTTATTAGTGGTAAAATAATTGCGAGTTTATGGGAAGAAGAAAATATTTTATGTAAAGAATTAAAAAGAAAAGTAAAATGATTAAGATTATATGAATAAAATATAATAGAAGACTAAGTATTGACTAAAGGGAACAATTGCAAGTTTAAACCTTCCTCTTAACTGTTTAACATTTGGGTAGTACAAATAATATGTTAGCTGTGATGTAGGTGATTTATTTTGTAGTTATATATATTTCCACAATATACTTAAATTTCTAATTAGGTATTTGCTTTTTTTAAAATTTATTTTAACTGATAGGGCAGATATAGATAAGACGGGCTGAGGAAAAGATAAGGAAACATCTAAGGCCTCTTACCGAACAATTTGTCAGTCCTTAGAATTGAAAGAAAAGGTACAGCCTTAGATTGGATAGTTTTGGAGGGACTCAGAGTGCAGAATTATCCTAAGCGCTTGTAGCTCTTACTCATAAATGGAATAAGCATTTTTGAAGTTATCTTGAATATTATAAATAAGATACTTTAATCTCTTTACATCCTCAAAGGCTAAATTTACCTGAACTATTTTTTTTCTCAAGCACAGATATGATGCTCTCATTACAGGCACATTTACTTTTGCTGACAATATTTCATATGTTTGAAATAATTATATTTAGCCTCTGGTTTTTTACTTTTCTTTAATTTTTAAAAATTTTAATCTGGGAAAGAAAATAGGTAAATTTGAAAGTAAAATTGTTAATTCAACTAAAACAACTTCACCTAAAAATTAGGCCTCCTGTTCATTCTCTTAGGTATAGATTCATGCTGAATTAATTACAGTACTTGGCTGGACTGAGTTGGAATTAGTAAGACCCTCAGTACCAACTAGCAGGAGGATATCATTGTGTAATCTAATAGTTCTTGTTCTGAAATGTTGATGTAGTTAGTTCTCATTAACCATGTTGTAGGGGCCAATTGGAATACATAAGTAGTACTAAAGGAGTAAGTAGTCCAGGTCACATTGTGTTAATACAGTCAAGCCATTCAGTGGTTGGCTAGTTAGCACGGACTGATACACATGTCGGACGGCTGCACTAAGCAGGGCTCCTGCTCCACCGTTTGGGTAACGTAATGGTGACTGAACATGCCACTCCCCCATTCTCCTTCCGTGAGTCAGTCCTGAGTAAAAAGCTCAACTCTGTGGCTTGGGAAGGTAAGTAGAAAGCAGTGTAAGGAGCACTAGGTTTTTCCATAGATGAGGAAGCTGAGGCACAATGGCTCAGCACCCTGAGCTCAGTGTTGGGGTGTGTGTGGGGGGAGCGGTTTGCCTGGGTAGGGGGAGTTGGGCATATACCACGTGACCAGGTAGGTCAATGGACTACGGAGCCGCCTCTGAGTGCTTCCCTGTGTGGTGCTAGGTCCTGGTAGGGGGTTGTTATGGGTGGACATAAGACTAAAAACCTTGAGAGTCAGGAAGCCTGTTGAGGGTCATCTATTTTAGATGTGTGGAGTCTGTAAGTTGAATTGGTTAAATAGACTTGGTTCTGAGTTACGTTCCACATGTATTCTCTACCTTTGGGTCTTGAGTGTGATTCGGAAAGTGGGGCTCAACAGTTCTGTGTCATAAAATCCCAGGACATGTGAATTTTACCCTGGGGTACTGGACATAAAAAACAATATGTTTAGTATATGAATTTTCTTAAAAATAAATGTGGAATCATCTAACTGAAGCTTATGGAGAGATACCCGCTAAACTGACTAGTTAAGTAGGGATGCTAAATGGGACAGTACCGGTTTCAAATACAAGATGTGCTAAGTACCATTCTTAAATATTTTACTTACTGTTATTGTATGAGGGCTTCATGGTAGGTGTATGGAGTCTGCCTCCTGTGGCCTCTGAAGTCGTAAATGTATTAAACGTGAATAATAATGGTAGTGGGGATATTTGAGTATTATTATTATTATGAGGCAAGCATTACATTCTGTATTAACTGTTTAATCCTCTTAATAATCTTATGATGGGATATTATTCTCCACATTTTACAGATAAGGCCGTTGAGGTTAGAAAGGTAATTTGTTTGTCTAAGAGGACATTCAGTAAGCAGTAGAACTAAGTGTCAAACTCAGTCTTTTTGGCTCTGGAGCCTGAACTCTCAGTAAGAGTCCAGTTGAATTGACTTTGGTATCTATCAGCAGGATGTAAGAAATAAAGGAAAACAAAATATTAGCATACATAGTTTTATATACACAACAAAATTTTAAGTACCATTAAAA